CCAATCTAAAATTAAGAGTCTTTGCATCACAAATAGCTTGTAGATAGATAGTCAAAACATATTTCTATTTTCACTGGCTTGTTAAAGCATTGTTTGCTGTAAATCATAAGCTTGTTTGTAGTTCTTCGCTGTCTGTAGCACTTTATCAGTTTCTTTACTAGATTCTTTTATCTTCTGTGCTTGAGCAATTATACAGTCTTCCAGCCTTGATAGCACCTAGTTACCATAATAGAGGTGTCAATGAATCAAGTTTTTACTCATACTGCTCAGTAGTACCAATGTTAGCTTTTCATTTCCATAATTATGCTGCTTTTAAAATGTTTTCTCTATTTGCACTGTTAATTTTACATGGATAATTTTACTTCATTTGGAATTTCATGTTTTCATGGTAGATGTACAGGACAGGTTGGAAAATAGGACTGAAAAAGTCTTGTAAGTAATTTATTATCTGCCTTTATATGGTACCAAACCAGTAAAATACTGTTGACGTCCTGGGTGATCGCTTCAGAGCATTGGTCTTCCTAAGGGTGAATACTTTCCTCGAAGTTCAGCCTAAATATATTAATGTCTCGTCACAGCTTTCTACTCTGTTGCTTTTGAATGGTTTTTAATTTAAGGAGTTTTTTCCTTTTCTGATGCTCATTCCTTTCCCTAATATATTCGCAAAGAGCAGTTACAATCTTTCTGAGGGTAAGCAATCTACACAGTTTTCTGTTAGATAACTTTTCAGCCTATTGAACTCAGTATCTATTCCAGATGCTCACATTTTTTGAACATAGGTTGCCAGAACTCTGTATAATACTCCATGTGGGTTCTTACTGCATCTGGTACAATAATTTTTATTCTCCAGTTCAGCTGGGCACATCTTACCTGATAGCATCATGAGATTCCATTTGCCTGTTGTCACACTAGTAGCGTACGTCTTTCCTGTAGCAGAACTACAAAAGCGTTTCTTCCTCTACATCTTGATTTCTATATGGTGAGTTTCAGGCTCACAGCACAAGTTGATGTTACTCCCTGACTATATAGCCTTGTATTTTAAGCTACTTAGTAATAGAAATCTTTTTTCAGTCTTCAGTCAGCTCCATTTTTTAAATTTTCAAGATATTCTGATTCTGTTGTAATTGTATTTCCTAAATATGAGTCACAGGCAAACTTTATAAGCACTGTTGAGATTTTCCTGTCCAAATTATGCGTGAAATATTAAAGACTTAGGCTTAGAATAGTCTTTGAGGAACTCCAACCTTTCTTTTCCTACTTATATCATCATTTAAAGAAGCTCCTTCATCAAAGGAGCCCTGTTTTTGACTTCTGCACAGCAACTTGCTTTGTGAGTAGTTTTAGTGGTAGATAATGGAATAGCTCTCTGACTTAGGTACTGCTCAGTGTAAATATGTCAGAATTTGTTGCATATTATGCAGTAGAGAAGTGTCACACTAAAGTGCCAGTGGTATAATTTTTTAAGTGAGACACTTGTTTGGAGACACTTAGGAAAACAAAGGAAAACAGATGAAGGTATGAAACCATCGTAATGTGCCAAAGCATATTCAAGGCTTTTGTGAAGGCTGGCATTCAGAAAGAGCAGATGGTTGTGACTTTGAGAGGAATAACCACATGATCTAAGGCTATGTTATATTTGTACAAGACTTCTCTTAGAAAAACGTATGCACATAGAGGTTGCATGCAGTTCTTCGCTTCTTCAGCACCTCCATAGATACCTGCCATCATCCTGTTTCTTGAATGTTTTAAGTATTTTTTTTGTTTTGGAAGGATATAATAGATTTTTTTAATCATTATGTTTAATTTTTGTTATTGAACAGTGAAACATAAGAGTTAGTATTTCCCCAGAACTGAGTTTTTGTATGTGCTCATGTGTATTTTTATTTTATTACGTTTCACACATGGAAGAGCAATTAATTTGTAAGGTCCTGATTTGAACCTGAGTTTGAAGATATTTGATCACATGTATGATTTCATAAATATAGTGAAAAATTCTTAGAGTGTTACAAGTAGCAGAACACATTTCTTACTAGTAATACAGAACAGTTTTCCATAAAATCATAGAGCCAAAGAACAGGTAAGGCTTAAAGGGTCCTTGGACTTGTCTAACCTTTTGGGGGGTAAGGGAGCCTAGATGAGATTATCTTGTATCCTGTCAAATGGCATTTTGAATATCCCTGAGGAAGTTGTTCCAGTGAATGATTGTTCTTTACTGTAAAAAATCTATTCCTTATATCAAGATGAAACCTCTTCCAGGGCAACTTTTACCCACTACCCCTTGTCTTCTCCGTATGATTTCATGTGAATGTAGAATCTCTGTTCTCTTTGTAGCCACCCTATAAGTGCTTAACCCTTCCATTTACTCTAATACTGAACCTATTGAGTTGAAAATAGTATGTGAAGAAACAATTCATCATTTAATTCTAAATGTATTTATAATTATCATGGCTCCAAGTATTCAAAAATAGAATCATAGAATCACAGAATATCCGGAGTTGGAAGAGACCCACAAGGATCATCAAGTCCAGCTCCTGGCCCTGCACAACACAGCCCATGTGCCTGAGAGCATTGTCCAAACTCTTCTTGAACTCTGTCAGGCTTGGTGCTGTGAGCACTTATCCGGGAAACCTGTTCCAGTACCCAACCACCCTCTGGGTGATGAACCTTTTCCTAATATCTAACCTAAACCTCTCCTGACACGGCTTCGTGTTGTTCTCTTGGGTCCTGTCACTGGTCACCACAGAGAAAAGATCAATGCCTGCCCCTCCTCTTTTCCTCACGAGGAAGTTGTAGGCTGCAGTGGGGTCTCCCCTCAGTCTCCTCCAGGCTGAACAGACCAAGTGACCTCAGCCACTCCTTGTATGCTTCTCCTTTAGAGCCTTCACTATCTTCATAGCCCTCCGTTGGATGCTCTATAATAGCTTTATATCTTGTATTGTGGCACCCAGTACTGTACACAGGACTCGAGGTGAGGCTGCACCAGCGCAGAATAGAGTGGGACAATCACCTCCGATGGTCAGCTGGTGATGCAATTACTACTACATTCTTTCCATTAGGTAGACTTTGATAGAGCTTCACGTCTACAATATGTGTAACTATAATAAAAATTATCTCTAGAGTAAAACTGCCCATTGTTTCCATGGAACAAATAGAAGATTTTACATTTTTGTAAACCTTTAGTTAACTATTGTCATGTCACTGAACTTAGGCGTAAACAGAACTGAGATGTGATTGCAGAATGTCTTTCATGTAAGACAAGAATCATTATGTATATTTTGGTTCTCTGCATAGATTTATTTATAAATTACACGTGTTGCACCATTATATCCTGATTTAATCCATTGAACAGCGTGTGTCCAGTATGACTCCATAAGTTTTGATTTCTTTCAGTAGATTCTGAGCTTTTTCATGTCCAAGTCAATTTTTCCACTGCTTTTAAGCTATTAAACTTATTGAAGGTATAGAAGAATAGCAATCTTACCACTGATAGTAGAAATTTGCTCCATGTGGTGCATTTGGTGCAGTGCATTTACATTTCTGTACCTTATGAAAGAGAAACATTAAACATTCAAATTCAAATTAAATTCTGACATTTTTGCACAAAGTCTCTCCAGGTTGTAGTGCATAATGTTGTGAACAGTCCTGTTAATGTCATATAATATTAGCAAATCTGCTGCAAATTGGCGACGACTGTTACAGTAATTTGCCTACCTGACAAGGTTGGTTTCAGGAGAGCAAGACTATCCATTATTTTAGGAGTTCATGTAAGTGCCATACAGTGGATAAAAGCTGGAATCAGAACCTATGCTTTCCATTTGCAAAGATCTCCTGCCTTCAATCTGATCTCATAGGTATTTGTTTATAACTGCTTGTTAAGTACCCTTTTTGCCAGTGGAATGACTGCTGAAAGCCCTAATTAACAAAGATACTTGTATACATACTGATGCTGATCTAGATAGATTTCAACATTGTTAAAGATCTTCTTTAAATGGTTTGATGTAAGTACCGCTTTTCTTTAAGTCTTCTGTTAGAAATTAGATTTCTTTTCAATAGAGCATGTTTTTTTTCAGTCTTACTTTATAAAAGTAACACACAAAGGTTATTATACACAAGGTTTTCATGTCAACCGAAAGAATGGCTGCAAAATGTGTAAATGGCAACATGATGTTAGCTGCAGAACTGTAATGAACTGTAAAAAACCCAAAAAAAATGTTTAGGATATTTTTTTATTATGTCATTGCAGATGCTACTGTAGTAGGTAGGTTTTATAGACAAGATAATGATTTTTCATCAGTGTCTTTAACTGTTTAAGTCTTTATGAAAAAAATCATTCTTCAACTGATGTGCCTATTTATTAGCATAGATTGAAATATGAGTGCAATGTAGAATAATTGTTAATGAAATTTACTGGATTTTCTAGATTTCTATCTGATTTGTCAACATCCAAACCATCTCTTAAAGTATAAAATTAAGGAAAATAAGTAATTATAAGGAAAATTGCAACGTTGAGCCTGATCAGCTACATCAGGTAGTTTTCGCCTGAGGTATTCGTGCAGGAAAAGGTATGTGTGTGAACATTTAAGTTCACTGTCACCCATGCCAAACTGGTGAATTAACAGACACCTGTAGAGCAGCAAATGTGGTGCTGAAGCCATTGCACGTGATCAACTTGAATGTTGAGTATCCTGATTTTAGTTAATATCTTCTTCAGGGTGCTGCTTTTAAAAATGAAGCCTGTAATGGTTTTCTAACAGGTGTTGTTTTCATTTCTGACTGTATTCAGTTGAGTGAAGATACTATGAAACTGAGTAATCGATGAGTAATATATTTACATCGCATGGAGATCAAGACAGCAGTTAGTGGAGATGATGAGAATAATAGTGCGGCAGCACAAGAAGATACACAGTAAACATAAAATGCATATATGTTCATTGATTAGTTCTGAATACATTCTGCTTATACATGTGGAGAAGAACAAAATGCAGCCTACTGAGGCAAAATACAGTACATAACAATTTAATTTCAGTTTGATTTTTTTAGTCACTCAAAACAGAGAAATAGGAGCAAGCATGCTGCAAAGATTGGGCACAGGAAAGAGGCACAAAGTCAAAAAAATTACATTTTAGGTATATCTTCCAACCCACTGTAGAAATCATATTGTTCTCATTCATTTCTTTAAACAGTAAGGGAAGCCTTCTGATCAAAGTGCAGTTATGGACAGCATGGTTGCGTCTGACCATGTCCTGGCTTCTAAGGATCAAGATCACTGTGCTCTGTTCATGCTCTGTTCCTTTCTGTGAAAACCAGAGCACAGGAAAGTGGGGGATAGTGTCTGTCTGGATGAAGCAGGAACATTTGACATGTGCACATGAGAATATGGGCACAACAGGGCATTACTTTGGATTTAAGGACTGGAAGTCTCCCAAGCCCCACAGGATAAACGTATCTTGTGACAGTCTGACTGCTGCTGTGAGGTGGATCCAACAGCCTAAGTTAAAGCATACACTCTCTGGTGCTGGCTAGATTTTTGGTTTTCCAGATTTCAAAAATTTAAACTGCTTGCACAGTCCACAGCAAGTGCTTCCAGAGAGACTGATTGCTGATCATGCTTGCAATAAACTGATGGAGAACAAAGGAAGACACATTAATTTATTCAGTTTGTTCTTCATTCTAACCAGATATTTTTTAAATGCAACTTTCTTTGGGTGATAAATTCAATCATTCTTTATATCTTTTTAACTAGTGCGTGGACAGACACTTTCTCTCTCTTAGAAGTAAAGGAAATTGATAAGAAATGTGTAAAATCAAAATGCATATTTTGTAAATACATTTCAGTTAGACAGTAAAAGCAGAAAGTCCTCAGCAGCGTGCCAATTGCTGTCCAGCAGCACATGTCACAGCAGACTGCACTTCTGCAGCTGTGAGCCTGCTTCTCCACACTTCAGTTTCCTGTAACTATTCCACCAGTATGTGCTTGCAATAAGTGTGTGTGCGTGGGTTTTCTCTGTTTCCACTCCTCCAAATGACATAAAACCTTTGTCTCCCAAATGACTGTACTGAGGTTACCTCTAGATTGAGCAGTGGTATATGCTGGTGCGTCTGTTTTGGCACACTTTTCTGCACTTCCAGGTTGGTTTAGTGTATTCCTGAAGGCGTCAAAAACCTGGAAGACAAAACGAAACAAAAAGCTCTGGTGTTTTTAAGGCAGACCTCTCAAAGCCAAAGAAAACAAAAAAAGGATCCTTAAAATGAGGAACCGTGAGGAACTTCAACTGAATTTTACTAAAGCAAAAAACAAAAAAAATCTCCACAATATTTGGTCACTGAGCATCAATCAAGATGCTTTTATTAGACTTGTGTGAACCGAACTCTGTCGTGACTCTCACTCTGTGTACGAGCCTCCTCCTTGTGTTATCTTGCAGCAGAACTCTGTGTTTGCCATCCTGCACTGCAGCTGCCTTCCCACCATCCTGTCCCCAAGCACCTAAGGCAAGAGATGCTTGATGTGCCATCTGCTGCTGCACAGTACACACCTATCAAGATGATACTAGACATTTTAAAATGTATGCATGCTGCATATTCCATCAGCATATTTGTAACTGTCTGAAGATATATGGCTAGTTTTGTTCATTGATCAAAATAATTTGTTCTAAATGTTTTATAGTAAATATATCCAATTACATTTGTGGGTTTTTTTCGTAATCAGTTAAAAATGCAGTCTGTTGCTGATGCTTTAGTAGAGAAAATGTTTGTAATAATATGAAGATATTTCCAGCCAATTAAAGACAGACATTTGGTTAAATAATATGAAACTTTCTTGCAACATTTTTCACATGCAAAATGATATTTTCAGAGTCATCATGTTTTACAGAAACTGAAATTTGAATTTGACCTGTATAACAGTAAATTTACAGTAATGGCATAATAGAAGTGGGCCTTTTTTATTCTCATTTCAGTAGCATGTACTACGCTGTACATAACACATGAATCTCCACACATGGTGTTTCATATCTACCTTCATTTTACCAGAGGAAAAAAAAAATCTGTTAAATGCTCTGGTGCTCTGATTTAATGAAATTGAAAATACTGCATATTATCAGAAATTTGAGTATTTTTCAGGCTGATCTAGGTGCACTCCAGAAAATCTGTGGATCCTTACATATATTTCATCCCTCTTGTGAAAGAGTTCAAATATATTATTAAAAGCCAAGTGGCCTACATACCTGTTGAGATTCATTGCTTGCTATTTCTTCTACTTTACTCTTTCAGGTGCAAAGCCGAAGGACATCTGTGTCTCAATAGAGTATGCAGTGATGAACCTAAGTGGTTGTTTTTAAAACCTGTTTTCCTTTATGTATATGACAACCTAGAGAAGGGTTATGCCATTCAGCTACTTTTATGGTTCCTGAGCATTATATTGTTACAAAAGCACTGGTGAGAAGGCTGCATCAGTTTTTACAGCCTTTCTGCTTTAGGATATCAGCAGCGTAGTTGCGTTGTCCCAGTCACTGGATGAATTATTCAAGCTCTTGACATCAGAGATTTCTGCTAGCGGATTGGCTGGTGCTCAGATAATATAATCTTTCCACAGGAAAACAGTGGAGAAGGATGATGGCAGTGAGATCAGCAGAACTGCTACTTCTAATACAGCTAGCCTTGTCTGGCTGTTGCATTTCTGCAAGAATATATAAAGATGTTTTTAAGGTTTGGCTTCATGTGAATTCTCTGATAAGAGACAGTGGAGGGATTTGTGTAAGAGGCCTGCATTTCCAGTGAAGGAAAGAAATTGGATCATTCTTGAAAAATTACTTCTGGCTATATTCTAAAGAAACGCTGCACATGACACAGGGTTAGCAGCCACAACAGCAGCAGCAGCAGAGCAGCAGCAGCAGTGCTTATGTTTCACTATAAAGGTGCTGTTGGCAGAAATGTTACATCGTTAAACGTGCTTCCTGAGTTCCTTCAGTACCTGCAGGGTAAGTGGTGCGAATACGGAGCTGACAGTCCTTGCAAGTGGGGGGAGCATAAGCAATTGTATGACACACATGTCTTGTGGGTATAGATAAACAGTATCTCTGCAGAGAATTTACATCAGGTCAATGAAAAGAACATACTTGTTTCCAGGTAAATTTGTAAAAAGTGTATTTACAATGGAATTTTTAAAATCAATGCACTACTTGTGTTATGTTCAGACATAGATTTTACAGTGATAAAATCTGTTCCTTTTTAAGCCTATGAAGAAAAGGTGCTAAAACCAAGGAAACTTCATTGTTAGTAGTTGCAGTTGTGCTCATAAAGAATATATTGCTCACATAAATTGCCTTGAAACAGATTATTTTCAAAGGCTATTTCTGCTGTTTGTTGATATGACTGAAAGGAGGTATGTCTTCTGCTGGTCTGTCTCTTCAGAAGCTGGAAGCTTGTTCTCTGATTTCCAGTTGTTGTCAGAAGGGTGTTTTGTAAATCACCAAGATGCACTGGAACTACAAATTGGGGTATCATTTTCACTCATTTCTTTGATGAGAAGTTTGACTTCTAAAGGCCCAGTACATTTATTTTGGCATGCCATCATCGTATCATGGTTACTGGGGAATTTTAAATTACAGATGTGTGAATGAAAGCAGAGCTGGACTGATTCTGTGTGTGCTTGATCTCTATCCCTACACCTCCTCACACACAACCCAGTAGAAGTGTGCAAGTACTTCCATGGAAATTAATGTGGCTACCTATATATGTAAATGCAGAGCACAGCTCACATTTACTTTATCTCATAAGGAAAGCATCTTCATGGTTAGAGACCATACAGCGAGAAGTCTGTTTGCCACAATGTAGAAACAATTGTCACATACAAAGTCAAGACGCCCCCCTGCCAAAAACAGTCAGTGTTGAATGAAGCACGATGCAGTATTTTGTGTGATATTTTTCATAAATTGCCTGTGAGTGCAACAAGTAGATCCTAAGAATGTAATGAATGTTTAAAAATTATATAAGACAGCTTACCCAATGATATTGAAGGAAAATAAAGAATGCAAACTTATTTTCTTAGGCATGAAGTGTGCTAATCTGGCAATAGATGCTGGAGAGTGTATGTATCTTTTTTTTTCTCTGGTATTTCTTATATGTGAGATAGCATTTAAATGTAAAGGAAATATCCTTGAGTTGTAATGCACAGACACTTTTTGGGGGGCTCATATATGGTCAGGCAGCCATCATTATTCCACTGAAGATAATATTTTGGCCTAAGAATTTTGTTTGGTGATTTGTATCTTTATGTAACCTCATTGTGAAGCAGCATTGCATGAGCGTGAATCTGGAAAATGCTATGCAGTGCTGCACGAGTCACTAGCAAATGCAGTAACTAAAATTAGATATTGCATCTGTCGGTTTTGGGATAAGCACGTGTTGTTATAAAAAGTGAATATTTAACAGCAACTCTAGTACCCTTCCCAAATCTTCGTTTGCGAAGCCTAGCCATGAAGAATGAAAATTTATTTGGATTTTCTGTTGGGAAAGAAGGTGCTCATTCAGAACTGGTGATAGTAATAACATGATTTGCTTTTCCATTAAATAGATGCTCCCTTCTATTTTGGAAAAAAAAATATCCATATAAATACTTGAATGCCTCTGTTGTGAAATTATTCCATGTATCAAAACTGATTACCCACGAAGAAGGGACAGGACTTTGTGGATGGATTATAGTGCTGTGATTCTCTTCCCTCCCCAGCTATGACCCTTGCTGCTGAAGTTGGAGGAGCTCTTTCAGGAACTATTTTTGTTTATGCATCTGGCAGCTGTCCCTCTGGGGGGCTATGTGACAATCAGTGAAATTCACTATAAATCAGGCAATTGCTTCAAGAAAGGGGTAAGGGAGGTAGTAAGTAGCATATAGAAACTGCCTGAATTAGCTAATGGCTCCTTCCTGGCAGGATCTCCCAGAGGACAAATAAGTTTGATAATGCAATTTAAAATCTTTAATTCAACATTCTAAACATTTTCAGATATACATGCTAAGAGTATTTTTTTCTAAGGCCCTAGCTGACTTTCAACATAAAAGCAACTTGACTGTCAGAGACATGGATTCTAGTTAAAAAGTACAGGGAAGTTCTAGGTGTTCACACCTTGGGTAAGTATAGAATGGACTTAGAAGTCAAATTTGTTTTGGCATTCAAATTTGAAATCATTTCTAACTGATCATTGGCTTTTTAAGACTTGAACTTTGACATGAAACTCTTCAAATAATCAAGTATCAGAGCATTATTGTAATAATATGAAGTATTACAGGCAAAATTGACTGTCTCAAGAATATATAGTGGGAATATTATGCTTCAGTAAATCTGAAAGTATCCAGTGATGTCTAATAAAACTGATTTCCTTTTATTTTCAGATGAGCAAGAGTCAGTCCAGAAAAGGACTTTCACGAAATGGATCAATACTCATCTGGCTAAGGTAATGCATGGCTTTTGAATTTATTTTTTAAATAATCATACCTTTTTATCTATGCCTATAGTGGCCCTGGAGTATAGAATATGTCAGATTTGTGTGAACAGTATTTCATAAACTTAAAAAGGAACCTCCATCATCTGTACAAGATTGAGGATGAATCTCAGCATGATAGTTATCAATTAGTCATGTTTTTTGAAAGTGTGGAAATATGTTTTCTGAGTCAGTCACAGCTGTAGGGAGTACTGGTGGGTCTGTGAAGTTACCAGGACCTCCCTTGCACTCATATTCTGGCTTGTAACCCAAAAATTCAATATTTAGGCTATTCAATTTTTGTAAAATGTTCTTTTAGTTTTGATTGCTTCAAAAGAAACTGGAAATCTGTAACATCTCCATTGTCTGGAAGCATTTGAAATGTGATAAGGAAAAATCCTGGAAGGAGACCCACTTTTAGGCAGTATTGACTGCATCCTGCTCTCATCTTTGACCCAATAAAATATGGAGCATCTATGTCTATGGTGTCTAGCAAGGAACACTGTGAAGTGCTGGGCTCACACTTACAGCAGAGAACATCCTGCACTACTGTCAGGTAGAGGAGCTGCGAGTGAAGAAGTACAGTTGAGCCTGGGGAAAGGTGATTTGAATTTTGTCTTTGTTTTTCACCATTGATCCACAACAAGTGTGCTGAATTTGATTCAGTATATACATTTAAAATTAATAGTAATTTCATTTCAAGTTGGCTCTCTATTTCTTGGCTACTCTTAGAAAACTTTGGGTTTCTTTCATTGCGATTTTTGACAATCTAGTAAAATTATTAATGGAAAAAGTAATAGGAGGAAATAAGAAAAAACTAAAAACTATAGTTAAAGTGTCTGTAACTCAACACCATGCTATCTGGAGAAATGTTCCATCATGAATGAATTTGAATATTTTTGAAAAAAAGTAGTGCATGAAACCTCAAAACCAGGAGAAATCAATGTTTTCTAATAAAAGATTGATGGGGTTTACTGTAACAATTTGAAAGACAGATTTAGAGACAGCAAAGGAAAGGAAACTCTACTAAGGTAGAGTTGTCATCCTTACACTGTGTTGGTTGAGTAGAGCAAAGGAGGATTTAAAAAGGAGAAAGGATTTAAAAGGGAGATTTAAAAGGTTTTTGACGTTGTGAAGAGTAATGATTTGAAAGAAATGGAAATGCAGAACTGATTTGATTGTGTTAGGTACAACCAACGACAATTCATAGCTTGGGAATATAAAGCAGGGTGTGATTCTTTGTCAGGGTTTGCCATGAGTAAAAGATTCTTCCCTGCTTATCTTTAAAATCTTAATGTATGTTTTTGTTCTAAAAAGTCATGCTCTAATTGAAACAGAAACTAATTCAATAACCAAGTGTATCAAGTAGATTAAAACTATTTTTTTTGAGCTATTCAGCTATAAAGTTAAAAGTGCGTTTGAGAATATGGATACAAATAAATAAGAATGAGCAAAAATGCAATAAGACTACCAGTGAAATTTCTTCACCGAAAGGGTTGTCAAGCACTGGAACTGGCTGCCTATGGAAGTGGTTGAGTCACCATCCCTGGAGGTATTTAAAAGACATGTAGATGTGGCCCTTGGGGAGTTGGTTCAGTGGTGGACATGGCAGTGTTATGTTAGTGGTTGGACTTAATTTTAAAGCTATTTTCCAACCTATGTGGTTTTATGATTCTATGAATTGAATTTTATGAAAGGCAATAGGAGGAAGGTATGAATTTTTTATTCTCTTTTGCTCTTAGAATAGAATGCTACCTTTTTAAAATTCCTGTTTCAAAGGTATATTTTTGAACAATCAGAAGACAGGTAAAGGACTTGGCATAAGCTAGTTACAGGACAACTTAAAGAAAGATGGAAATAAAACAGCCTTAGTGCAAGCTGTGCCCTCACCCATAGGGGATGAACACAGAGGAAAGAGCTGCAAGTATGATAACTAGCAGGTAGCATAGTGCAGGTTT